GAAATGGGATTCCCCTAGGTAGAAAGACTGACATAGGAATAATGACCACACAAAAAAACTGGAAGTAAAAGACCTATAGAAGCAAGACTTTATTGGTAACAGAGAAAGAGGCATTACTGCAAGCTAGGTTGAATCCTGCTATGGACCCATTGCTTACACTATTAATATATTAGTACTTCGATAATGCACTTAAACTGGCAAATCCTCAGTATACCAATATTCCTTTCCCTAGGGAGCTGCAGATACATTCTCAGTACAATGAAGTGTAGAATTGCCTCTCCTTTTCTCCTGCCAAAAACTGCATCCTTTAAACTTTATCTGGTCCTTCTGTGGGTACAGAATTTGGAGCTACATTTCTCATATACAAGGGCAGAACACTCCAATGTTTAAATCACTCCCTAGAAAGTAAACTATGGTCTCAGTTGAACAAGGTACTTAACTTTCAGTATGAAAATAATGCTACTGAAATCAATAGTAAAATTCTCATGCATAAGTATCTTGATGAATTGTAACTTAAAATAGATTTTTTTTCCTTTCAGACTTAAAGGTCAAATGTAGGAGAAAATATGTCAGTGGTTGAAATGCATTAAAAATTACCCTATAGGTAAATCATGCTAAATGTATTTGATTTCAGTTTATCTGAAAATTCAGAAAAGCACAGTTTTTTCTTGTCCTTGAATTAAACTACAACCCTCCCCCCAAACCAACAAAACAAAAAACCCAGTATTTTGCAAAGAAGGAAGAACCAAAGAGCTGATAATAAAGAGTAACTACAAGCTTTTGAGCATCTGATTGATTAGATGTACAGAGGAAATAAAACAAGCAAAACAATCCCTATAGTGAAGACAGTAGAAATCCTAACAGGAAAAGGATTGCAATTTTATGGTGCAAATTAAAAAATTAAAAAGAATGTTCACAAGAATGGATCCAATATTTAGACTAACTCACCTGAGTCATTGTTTTGGATGTTTTTTACCTCCCTAACCCACTTTTTTAAACTGAAGACAGTCTTCAAGTTTTTAAAAAAATTTAGAGTGAAATTCTCACATTCATTAAAAACTTTCAAAAAGTGCTGGAATACAATGTTGCTTAGTTAATGATGCCAATATTTTAACTTGCCAAAATGAACATTCTGCTTTTAAAACTCAAGGTAAAAGTCCATTTAAATATAAATAATAAACTGATTCTTATTCTTGATGTAGATGGTATCATGAGTTTTTGTGGGCACAACCCACTTCTTCAGATTATCGGAGTGATTGACGTCCAGATCCAAGAATAAATAAAGGAAGGAGGGGGGAGGGGAGGGGAGAAATATTTCACTGCTGATATCAGAGTAAGATATATTCAAAATATGTTTTTCTTAGCTTCACATAATTTCCCAAACAGAAGAATTGAATTGCCATAAATATGCTGACTGACCTCTTTAACATTCTTGGACACGGGGCTAGGAACAATACAGTCATCACTGTCAGTTATTATGGATTCTGTGGCATCAAATGCTTGTCTATTATCTTGATCTGTTAGGGGAAAAAAAAGTTTAAACCTTCTGTATTTGTAGTCCATTTGAGATTCGTTGAGAACCTGGGAGCATAATATTAGGTTTTCTGATAAATATAGCCAGGCAAATCTTTTCTTCTTTGCAGATCATAACACAGGTAAATCAATGACCATCAAATAGTCTGGAAAGTCATTTGTTTTTTATTCTGATTTGCTAAAAACACTAATGGTTATGTTGGTGGAAACTGAAATACAATCAAATATCTTGTAATAAACAATAGTGTAAGCAAACATTTAATATAGGAATTAAGGCTTTCAAATGATTAAACATTGTGATTAATTGCACAGTTAAACAAAAACAGTATACAGGTTGTGCCTCCCTTAACCAGGAATTTCTAGTCTGGCAACATCCATGGTCCAGCAAGACCAGAGATGTTCCTGGACCACAGAACCCAGGAATAGGGAGGTCTGGCCATGGGACAGGAATGCGGCAGGGAGTGGGGGTGGTAATCTGCCTCTTAAACATTTGAAGTTAGGGATTTGATAAGATGCACTGCCCTCTCATTGTTGGAGACAATCTCTGATATTACTGGTAGTACTTTTAGTCTTTAAAGTGTTACCAGACTATTTGTTGTTTTTTAAGTTTTTCCTGTTACAGACTAAACTCAGCTACCCCCCTGAAGCTTCTGATATTACTGTTGGCTGTTATCTGTACACAAAGGGAGAATACTTTTAAAAATATTCTTTAGAACATCACCCTTCTGAAAGGAGAATATAAAGACACTGAAAACAAACCAGGTTTCCTTTTAATATTTTATGAAACTAGGCCAGATACCAGATTTTTGCATTCAATTACTATACAACATCTAATTGGGCTATAAACACCACCAACAAACTCACCCAGGTACAGCTATGAAGAACCCCAGAACACAATTTCTGTCATGAACATTCTTATAATCAGGCAGCTCACACTGTTAGCAACAAATGTTTAATATGGAAAGAGAGGTAGCTTCATTAATGTAATAGATTCATTTTTAATTTATAAAAATGAAAGTTACCTTCTGTTTCTAATTCCTCAGTTATTTCTGTTTCATCTCCAGAAGTAGCCAAACTCTGGTCAGCCAACTGACCCTCAGATAGCTGAGAGAGGTCATCTTCTTGCTGAATTTCTCTAGGAGTTTCCTTTAATTTCTGTATAAACTAAAATAAGAAAAGCAAATATAAAAGTAGGTAAATTTATAGATATTCTGTAGTATTTATAAACATCTACTTGAATAGAAAAAAGCTACTAAGACTTAAAACTTGAAGACTTATGACATGTATATGACCTGTTAGTAATGATATAGCTTAAAAAAAGATAGAGAGCAATGAAAAGCTCATTAATTATTAACTGCAATAACAAATAGAGTAAAAAGGACAAATCTATAATTTACGTTTTCTAAAGACCTAATTTCATAAAATCTCTTGACATCTATCAACATAAATGTAACTTCAGATGGTTTCAAAACATTTAACTTGTGTTTTAAGCTATTTATTTTTAGAAAAATTACTGTTCAGATTTTATTTTTAGAATCTTGATTAGCAATTAAATAGCATATTCATGAAGGTTAGCCAGTTTAAAATTATATATTTAATGCCTCAAATATCTAGGGTAAGAGAAACCATTATCTTATCATCTACTAGGGTATGTCTACATTAGCCCCCTAGTTCGAACTAGCAGTTAAACGGTAATTTGAACTAAGTCCTTAGTTCGAATTACCTGTTACTCCTCCTGAAATGAGGAGGAGTTTAACTGCCGTGCGTAGTCGCGGGCAATTAGTTTGGACTAGTGGCATTTAAAAATGGCGACCGGACGGGAACATGCAAATAAAGCCCGAGATATTTAAATCCCGGGCTTCATTTGCAAGTTCAAATGCCTACGTTAGCCTCCCTAGTTCGAACTAGGGGTCTAGTGTAGACATACCCCTTTATAGTTCTCTTCCCCCCTCTTCCAAATCCACTGAAATCATAGATAATTTTTCAGTATATACTAAATCAGGGATATTACACCTACCAATTCTGCTAGAGTAAGTATCTGCTTCATAGGGAACCCAGTAATGGAAAGCTTGGTACCAGATCATTCTCTTTCTGGGTCCAATTTCTCTACCCAGATATTTGAACTTCATCTCTCTTCCTACAAACCCTGGAGGCAAGGGACTCCAGGGCTTCCCTTAACCATTGTATGTTAGGCTGGGTGAGTACCTCCACTCTAAACCACTGCAGCAATACAAAGGAACTTTAAGAAGCCCTTACAAACTCTTCCACCACTGAACAATTCTCTGCTGGTATGAAGCTGGTGTTAGGAGACACAGGAGATGAGAGAGCTAGGGCATTGTGCTCCAGACAATCCCTGGCCAGTGGAGCATTCTTTATGAAAAACCATGGCAGTGCTCCCTTTTTGTAGCTCATGAGACAATCTCTTAAAAGATGGAACTCCTTGTAGTTGCACTCTATTTTGACTGCTTAGCCTTGAAGGGAGAAGGAGGAACAAACAGAAAAAGTGTAGCCAGGGGAACCAAACTCCTTTAAATGTAAACTTAAAAAACAGCAAATGGTCTGGTAGTACGTTATAGGCTAACAAAACATGTAGATGGTATTATGAGCTTTCGAGGGCACTGCCAGTCATCTGAAGATGTGGGTGGTGCCCACGAAAGCTCATGATACTATCTACATGTTTTGTTAGTCTACAAAGTGCTACCAGACCATTTGTTGTTTTTTAAGTTTATCCTGTACAGACTAACTCGGCTACCCCTTGAATCTTCCCTTTATATGTGCTTACCTGAGATGAATTGGGGTAATTAGCTTATTTACTCTTAAAAATAAGCTTTAAACAGAAGAATATGAAAGTCAGAAATTGTCACCCATTATTTCAAGACATATAAAAGAAAGGATAGATTAAAAATTATATATTTAATACTTTTTTATCCTTGGTATTTTACATAATCAATATATATTACATAGTCGGTGCAATTTTTTGTGCTGTTATATGGTGATATTCTTTAAAGGTAGGGAAGAGCTACATTTAATTCAACTGTTAAAAGCATAAGGAATTATGTAGGAACATTACTAGTTTAGTATTGATTTAGAAGAAATAATGTTAGTCACTGAATCACATACATTCCAATGCATTTAATGAAATTTCCTCCATCCAAATACTGATCCATGCTTACTGTTAAAATGTATTCGTTTTTTTTCTTTCTATTTCCTCTGCAAATACAGTTGGAGGGTTACATACCAGAGTTCATGGAAGAAACATGCGGAGTGCTCTCATTATAAGCTGCTGTCTGATTTACCGTGCTGCTTTTCTTGGTATGAGCGGCGAGGAGTCCTGTGGCACCTTATAGACTAACTGAAGTGTAGGAGCATAAGCTTTTGTGGGCAAAGACCCACTTCGTCAGACGAAAGCTTTGCCCACAAAAGCTTATGCTCCTACACTTCATAAGCTTTGCCCACGAAAGCTTATGCTCCTACACTTCAGTTAGTCTATAAGGTGCCACAGGACTCCTCGCCGCTCATACCAAGAAAAGCAGCACGGTAAATCAGACAGCAGCTTATAATGAGAGCACTCCGCATGTTTCTTCCATGAACTCTTTCTTGGAACTGTACTTTTGATTCTTTAATATATAACATGTCATGTCTTATATGCCTGTATAAAACCATTTACTAAAACGTTCATTTGACTTGCCTGATAAGAATCTAAGAGAAAAAATTACTTGATTTATCTTGGATTTCCTAGTTACTTAGCAGTTGATGAACAAATAGGACTTGGATTGTAATGCTGACACTAACTTCATTCATGATCACTTAGTCAATATCTCCACTACAGTTATTCATCAAGAGAACCAATTAAAATTCTAATGATCACACAATTAGGATATCACTGTATTACAGTTTCACTCTTAGTGCATGACTAAACAAATCTGATATTGAATTTTTTGCTACAGCTATCAACATATAACAGAATTAAATCGCAAACTGGTATATGACAAAATTTGAACCACCTCATACCTCTGGAGCATTTGAAACAGTAGTTGTATCAGATTTAATTTTCTGTGCTATTTCTTCATTGTCTTCATCAGTAACAGGATTCTAAGTTATTGGCATAAAATAAGGAGACATATTTATCTGCTATTACAAAATTAACACATAAAAAAGCAGACCTGCGGACCAGCTTTCATATAAGCCTCCTTTTTGCAGGTGGAATTATTTGCATTGTCAAAATGGTGACATGCATAGTTAAGAACCAGAGAGCACTGTAACCAAATAGACTACTAAGGTGTATGTTTATTTCTAACCCATTTTCATTTCTGATTCTCTTAAACTAGTATAATGCAGCAAAGTCTGAGCTATAATTCGTATAAAAAGTTGATTTTTTTTAAAAAAAGAGAATTACCTTGTGTAGTAACAGAGGTTCTTCGAGATGCATGTCCCCATGGGTGCTCCACTCTGGGTGCCGGTGCAGTCTCATGCTGGTGACTGGAGATTTTTCTATCAGTGCCCTGCTATGCTGCACATGCGAGTAGTGTCTTCTCGTGCTGTTGGTGTCCACTGCGGCTGCATTCCTTCTCTGCTTTGGTACTAGCCCCAAAGAGGCTCCAAAGTAGGCGAAGGAGGGAGGGTAGTGGAACACCTACAGAGGGACACATCTTGAAGAACCCCCATTACTACACAGGGTGAATAAATCTTTTTTCTTCTTTGAGTGATGTCCCCTTGGATGCTCCACTCTGGGTGACTACAGAGCAGTGTTCGTATTGTGGAGGTGTGTTTGGCCCTGCCCCTGAAATTATGGACAGCACCACTTGTCCGACTGAGGTTGCAGGAGCGATAGTGGAGGTAAGAGTGTAATGTTTTGTGAAAGTGTGGTCAAAAGACCAAGTTGCTGCTTTGCAAATGTCCTCTAGTGGGATCTTGTACAGGCAGGCTCTGGTGCAAGTTACTGCTCTGGTGGAGTGAGCTCCTATATACTTGGTGGCTGCTTGTTGTGGATTGTGTAACAAGTACTTATAAAAGAAGAGATTCATTTGGAAATTCTTTGAAAGGAGATGGCTTGATCCTTCCAGCACTCTGAAGCTATGTCTAGACTGCAGAGCTTTTTCTGGGACACTAGAGGTATCCCGAAAAAGCTCTGCCATGTCCAAGGATCGCGTCCGCTTTTTTGGAACAGTTTCTGAAAAAGTGGACGTGTTTTCTCAGCATCCCTGTATTCTTCTCAGTGAGAGAAATAAGGGATTTCTGAAATAAGAGTTTTTTCCAAAATTTGGCCCCATGTAGACAGACCAAATTTCGGAAAAGCCTCTTTAGGAAAAAAAAGTGGAAAAAGATACGCAAATTGCAGTTTGCAATTTGCGTATCTTTTTCTGACTTTTTTTCGGCAGCGTAGACATAGCCTGAAAGTGATAAGAGGAGTCTTGTTGACTTTCTCCAGGATCTCGTTTGGTTGAGATAAAAGGCGAGTGCTCAGTCTAAGGTGTGCAGCACTGCTTGTATTGGATTGGTGTGCAGTTTGGGACATAATGCAGGTAAGTGTATCAGTTCACTGATATGGAAAGGCATTGGGACTTTGAGATGGAATCTGGGGTGCGGTCGGAGGGTTACTTTGTCCTTAGTGAACACTGTATACGGCAGGTCAGACATTAGTGCTGCCATTTTGCCTCCTACCGGAGGTGACGGCTATTAGAGAAGCCACCTTCATGGAGAGATGTAATCAAGAACAGGTGGCTGGTGGTTTGAACGGTGGTTTGGTTAGGTTCAAGACATGATTCAGATCCCATATAGGAGTTGGTGAATGTATTGATGGGAAAGTGTTTGAAGGCCTATAAAGAAACACTTGGTGATGGGATATGCGAAAATAGAAGTGCCATCAGTGGTTTTGTGGAAGGCTGCAACTGTCGCAGCATGTACTTTTATTGTGTTAAAAGAGAGTCCTGCTTCCCTTAGTCCCAAGAGATACAGTAAAATCTGGAGTATAATGTGCACTTTTTTCCCAGTTTTGTTTAGCATCAAAGATAGGGTGCACATTATCTATAGGAGGTTTTTAAAAAAAGTTTTAAACTCACCCTTGGCAGGCATGAGCTGGGCAGGGGGGAGGGCAGACAAGGACCTGGGAAAGTCCTGGGCGGGGAGGGCCCCCCCGGCATGCGCTCGGTGCACGGGCAGCTGGGCATGGGATACTTCCCCGGGAGGTGCGAGCTTGGCATGCGGGCATCTGGGCGTGGGAGCCTCCTGCAGATGCGAGCTGGGTGTGCAGGCATCTGGGTGGGGGAGGCTCCCACTGCAGGCACGAGCTAGGCACGCGGGCATCTGGGCGGTGGAGGCTCCCACTTCAGGCGCAAGCGCGGCGCGTTGGCATCTGTGTGAACTTTCTGTTGCAGCTCCCTCGAGATTCCCAATGCTTGGAGCCACGAGGCTCTGCGCATCACAATGGCCGTTGTGGTAATATGGACCGCAGTGTCCATTGCCGATTGTAGGGCTATGGCCCTCCTGAGTAATACTGTGCAAATAGGGTCTTTTCTGTTCAGGTAGGAACTGAGAGAGATCCTGGAGTTTTGAGTAGTTGCTATAATTGTAATCAGTAAGCATTGCTGAATAGTTTACAACCCTCATTGTAAAGTCGCCAATGAAGAGACTTTTCCACCCAGGATGTCTAATCGTTTATGGTCTTTATCCTGGGGAGTTGCCCTCATATTGAGATGTTTTGTCTTGTGCTGGACTGAGTCCACGACCAGGGAGTCAGACAATGGATGGGAAAATAAAAAGTCCATCCCCTTGGATGGGACAAAGCATTTCCTGTCAGTCCTCTTAGTGGTACACGTGATACATGCTGGTGTCTGACAGATATCATCAGCAGGGTCCATAAGAGGTGCCATCCTGGCTGAGGTGGCAGGTTGAAGAGTGCGTAGAAGCCTGTATTGTTTTTCTTGGACCTTTTGCAGATTCAGTTCTTGTGCTGAAACCACCCTCTTAAACAGTTACTGGAACTGCTTGATGTCATCCGTTGGAGATGTGGTGGTGGGAATTATAGCTTTGTCTGGGGATGAAGACTAGTTGTGGAGTGGAGATCTATCATCCTCCTAGGAAAGAGAGTCCTCATTTCTGGACTGAAGATGCACGGGGGAATTTGGTGCCATGTCCTGAGATGTAGGCTGCAGGGAATGAGGTGGTCTTTTGGCCAGTGTGAAGGGAGCGGAGTGATGGCTCCTATGAGAGGATCAGGTGTCTGAGGGATGCCATTGGCCTGGGTACAGAAGCGGCAGGTAAGGCCAATGATGACCATACCAGTGAGTTGGTGGTGGACCATGTGGTGCTCTTGTCGAGTAGGACTCCCATGGAGGATGCCTTTAGGTAGGACTGGAATGTTGTGCGGAGAAGTGGCTGTGTTGTCTTGTGTCAGCCTTGCTAAGAGAGAGACGGGGCTGGTGAGCAAGGCGAATGGACTGAGCGCACTGAAGATGCTGGCGAACCTGGGGCTGAAGAATTGTGGGTTATTGGTGCCGCAGAATGTCTGAGATGTTCTTTCGGTGGTGCTGTGGTGGTCTGCATGGAGGCAGGTGCTGACAGTGCCAAGGATGGGGTCAGCGTTAGTGACCTAGGAGGTGCAGCATCTTTTAGGTGCCATATCCAGTGCCCTCACAGGTACTGTCTTTGGTGCCGATGTATGATGTTTGGTCGGCGCAGTAGACGATGTGCCACCAACTTATGCCTGGGCTCAGAGTGGGCCCTCTTGTGCGACCCTGATTGTTTAGGCAGTACCATGCCTGACGAGCCGGGCTTGTCACCTATGCTCACCATGCATGAGCTCAGTGTGGGGGGTAGCAATTTAGCTGGAGAGACCCGGGCTTTTGCTTTTGCCTTTTCAGAAGAGGTAAAGGGACGACTTTTGTCCATACCATCTGGTCTTGCCACAGCCCAGTCCTTGTTACTAAAGGGAGAATCATCATGCAAAGGTTGTAACGACTTCCCATACAAGAAAATTTTCAGTCTGTTGTCGCAGTCCTGTCTCGCATAGGCCAAGAGTTCAAGCAGTATGAACACTAAATCAGGGTCAAGTTATGAGGAAATGCAGCCATCAGATACTAGCATGACTTCGCGACAAGAGTTATAGTGTTTAAACCCTGGAGAGCCAGGCATTTTGAAGTGAAAGAACAATGAAGAAAAAGAGAAGTTA